TTACTCCATCCACTCATGAATAGAGCTCAGAACTAAGTCATGCCTTTGCTATCCTAGAAAAAAAAACAATTCAACTCACAGAACACTGAATGCACATCAGAGGAGATTTAGAAGTGCTTCCCAATCCAATGAGATGACCGATTGATTCTATGAAGTGCAACAAGTTGACAGTTCTGTCGGATATTGGGTAAAAGTAACCCTAACCTCTGTATTTTTCTATAGTGGGCTAAACATCCAAACAAGAATTATGTTAAACATAATAGTCTGAGCTTCCATTTTTCTACTAGCAACTAGCACTACGTTGAAATACAACAACAATGCTGCTCCTCATGTATTCTACATCAGTAGAAGACATCAAAATTCCTTTCATTGAGTAAACTGTCGAAACCTAAGTGACATATTGTATAGATATTAACTGTGCACAACAACATAAACTGTACAATGATCCCAAATAGTGGACACAATAACTATAGGAGGTGTTGGATGAATTTTGAACTGATTATTTATTGTAAATATTACATCAGAGGTAAGTTTTCTGATGGTTTTAGGAACTTTTTATACAATTCGCTCTCCATATTATGTTTTTAAAAAAACAAAAAAACAATCATACATATTATCTTAGCAAACAATTTCATTTAGTTCTCTGAAATGCTGAGATATGGAGGCCTACTGGCCTATATATATATATTTTTTTAAGTTTTTTTTTTTTTAAGTTCTTACACCCTTTAACATCAAGAAGGCCTTGCGACCCTCCATGAAGCTTTGGTGACCCTAGTGGGGATCCCAACCCCCAGGTTGGGGACCACTGTTCTACGTAGATCATTAGTTAACTGGTAAAGATTCAGACTTTTTGGCTCAGACAGCTTTACCCTCAGACAGTGAGTTTTCAACCAACTCAGTTACCATTATTTAGCTATCTAGTTACAGCTGATAAAATCTGCTAACAGTCGTCATTTGAGGCGGCAAAATCAGTGGTCGCTGGCTAGAAATTAGGAGCTTTTTCCAGACAGTATATACTGGTAAATTAGCGGACAGAGCTTCTGTTCTGTTCTGTTCTGTGAAGCAAAAGCAAAAGTGTCTTAAACCTGCATTCTTTCTAATAGCCAACAGGGGGCAGGTCCTTGAGCTGCAAAAAAGCCTTAGCTCAGCCTTAGCTCAGTACACAGTTTATGGTCTCACTTGCTAGGTTCAAGTCTCCGTCCATACAGCATGATGTTCTTTTTGAAAGTCTGGTTCCATTTAGAGTAAAATATATGATAAAGCAGTGTATGCTCTAGGGCGTGGGCCAATATGTGATTTACAAGTCCCTGCTATAGACAAGTCGAAACAAAGCACAGCCAATGAGTGCAGCTCAACTCGCAGTACATCACTGCCATTGGCTCTGAAAAAAACAACATGGCGACGGCCATATTGCCAAACCCGAGGCTTCAAAACAGTACTCCACAAACCAATTGGATAACTTCACGACAGGCAAGTGTGATATTTGCTTGTAGAGTAACTGTTTTACACTCTGTGCGTGTGTGTGTGTATGTGGCATTCACAAGGGCAGAGGTTCTCCCACACACTGTAGTGTCTTTTTTTCTCCATGCAGCCTTTTTTTCTCCTCCTGATCATCTGAGCAGCTTAAGCTAATATGCAGAACTTGTGATTGCTAAAGCAGAAAACATGATTAAGTCTCTCCTCTTTTTGAAAAAGACCCTCTGCAGTGCAGAGATCCTATAGGCTTAGTGAACAGTCACCCCTCCAGTCTGGGTCAGGAGACTACAATGTTCACGGCTGATTATCTTTCCCTAAGAGGGAATGTATCACATGGAAATACTGACATATTTGATCTGGGTCACAACTGAACTGAAGGGTTCACTGTTTATTTGTACTGCTCAGTATCACATACAGAGTCTTAACAGGCTTTAGAGGCCTATCATTTCAAATGGGCAAACTAATATTTATTGTCATTCATGAATTTGTAAAATTCCAAAGTGACATGCAGTTATTTCATCTCCAATTTATGTACTTAGTACTGTCTGATTTCTCTAAATGTTTTTTAGTTCCACCACTTATCATCAGTTATCTTCTGGATCATGTATTGTTGAAATGAGAGGGTATTCGTATGCAGGCTTCTTATCTTCTGGCATAAAACTTAACATCTCTGTCATATTACAAAGCACAGTAAGAGCACTTCAATACATTTTGGGGGCAGTGTCTTTCTCTTGACTATAAACATAAATGGATATGTGTGACAAGCTTCCCAAAATCAGTTTACTTGTTTTTAATGTTTCAGCAATTCATACCACTTATTTCTTATTTATCATTATTACTGTATAAATCACACCTTTTTTTTTTACCTGGTAACTTGTTTTCATGTCTTTGTAAAGCACTTTATAACTTGTTTTTGGAAAGTGTTATACATAATGTTATTATTATTATTATTATTATTATTATTATTATTATTAATAGATGCAAAAGCAGATTGTATTAAAAGGCTGCAGAGGTCTGACTGTTGTTTTGCTTTAATTTTGGATTTTGTCAGGAATTTAAATGGCCTGGGCTTTAGTGCTGTCGAGTGGCACGTGAACATGAGACATTCATTTGTCTGAAAAAAAACCTACAATGCTACACTGACCCTGGATGGGACACTGTGACACATCCACCCAAATCACACACACGCAAATATATAAAAAATGAAATAATACTGTGCAAAGGGCTTAGAGGATAATCCAAGCGAGTGGAGTGTACTACATCATCACAGGAATTAAATTCCCTCTTCGTCCAAAAAAGGACATGGCAGTAAGGATGGGTCAGTGGATGACATACACGGGCATAGCCACAAAGCTGCTCTCTTTACTTCCCCTACCTCACAAATCTATTCTTTCCCTTTCTTTTCTTCATATATTACAGTCCAGTGTTTGTGTATTTTATTCTGTCAGCAAAATTTTGAAGCAATTAATTCAGTGACGGTACCACAAAAGCAAACTCTTCAACGTCTGGTGAAGTGTTAATTACATGTCTTGATCGAACTGTAAACATCAGGTTGTGACACTTGAAATTTAGTGTCCTTCTCAGGTCAGTGGAGGCATGGTGGCCCTGTGGGAACATGTTCATGGTAGAGATACAGCCAACCTGACAGGCAGCTAGTCATGCTATACCAATATAGCTCTATAGCAACATGCACACACAGACTTCTCTCACACACAGGCTTAATGAAGTCTTTATGAACCTGGTTAATGGCTATTTTGTGCATGCATTTTACTCTGAGCTAAGTTCACAACAGTTATGCCACAGTTGGCAAACCACCAGACTTGAGGGCCAGTGAGTGCCCTGTGCACTCACAACATTTTCCAATTAAGGATTTGTGAAGCATTAATGTGTCGTGGCCTCTTGCAGACATCATATAGGTTTCAGGTTACATCAAGATTGAAATCGCTTATAGAGAGAGTGCACAGAGAGCTAAAATAGAACGATGATCCAAATCAAAGTTGTGTGTGTCTTTACAATAATCCGGTGCAATCCGTAGATTGCAAAATGGTGAGAGAGCATGTTTACTATTGGACTGTCATTTTCGAGGCTACAATGGTTGTACTGTAATTCTTAAAGGGGAACTTCCGCGATAAAGTTGTGGGGACTTAAAAAAGACAGTTTACCAAAAGGATGGTCACAGTTGAAGCAACAGAGGTTGAGATATCCTGTCTTTTAGTCTCCAGTATGGATCAAGCCCCAAAAACACTACATTTTGTTATTGTGTCTTTATTATACCATCCCTGTCTGGTAAATACCCATGCTTTTCAAACTCCACAACATGACAGGCTTTCTGTCAGCAGTTTCAGTCAGAACCCAAGCTGAGATAACCCTGATGATATCACAATTACATCACCAGGGTTATTTTCTCAGACTTGACAAAGCTACTGCAGGGCCACAGATGACTGAGTAGTACTCCTTGCGACTATTAAACTGATTCATATTACTTCATATTTAAATCTGTTGATTGCCCCTTTAAGGTCAGCTAATGTTAGCAAAGATAGCACACTGTCTTTGCTTTGTAACTGTCACAACAAAACATATCAATCCAAATAATCAATAGGCATAAATGACTCACCATTTAGTAAGAATAGTACAATAATCTCACCAAACTGTTGGCATTACTTTATGCAGTAACTGAAATCCTTCCTGTAAGTGTTGGATTTACTCCGCTCTGTTTAGGCTGTTTTTGTTTCTCTTGTAATGTCAGCTTCATATTGCAAAGCCAGGCAGATATTTCACCTTGAGGAGTTTGTCCTTTAGCTTCTGCCAGCTCTGTGCCACTCAGCACTTTTTTTCCCCCGGACTCCAGAAATCATTATCAGCCACTGTGGGGTATTTAAACAGCAGCCAAGTTGGTACTTTGATATTCCTCCTTCTCTCTGACATCCTTAACTCCCACTGATCTCACTGAGATGGGCATCACTGCAGCAAAGATTTGGGGGCAATTTGTTATCTGAGAGGCTGTTTTTGTGTGCCAACAGTTGTGACGCCACACCACACACTGAAATCTGAGTAGGGTTCATTTGGACTGAATCTGTTCAACTTAGATACAGGACATGTAAAATAAATATTTCTGAACTCTTTTTTCTCTCTCATGCACTGAGCCAACCCACATTCCTCTTGAGACGCCAAAAAAATCAATAATGCTGTAAATTTTGCAACAGTCAGAATGAGGAACAGTATCTCTATTTTCTCAATCAAATAAGTACACTCCAATTGCATATCACATAACTATATTGTGTGTGTGTGTGTGTGTGTGTGTGTGTGTGTGTGTGTGTGTGTGTGTGTGTGTGTGTGTGACATTATAGAAACAAGCTTTCCTTTTGGGGACACAATGTCCACATAACATCAATCACAACATTTTAGGGTGAAGAACCTTGGTAAAGTTAGGGTAAGGTTGTGTTGAAAGAAAAGCAGTGTACCCAGTTCACACAGAAACACTGGCATGCATACACACACACACACACACACACATACACACCTACCATTCATGCCATTGTAGATGCTCCGATGATGTGGTGACAGCTCGTCTCCAGCTGGCCTCCTCTGCCCCTCTCTCACAGGGCTGCCAAACTTCACATGGTCAGGGCTCATACTGTACTGGTGCCTATGAGTTTCAGGGCTGCCCCCCTGGACCACGCAGCCCTTTTCATGGTGGTCAGCGCTCCCTAAATGTGCCAGCCGGGGCTCAGGGCTCCCACAACCAGTACTGCTAATGCTGCTCCTGTGGTGCCTCTGATAGAGCTCCCCACTGCCTCCCTGGCCCAGGAAGTGCTGCCTCTGGCCCAGGAGGAGATCAGAGCTGTGGTGCTTGGGGTGCTGTTCCGGACTGCGTCGGCCCACGTTCCTCCCGTATTTTTCCGGGCTGAGGCCCCGCATGACTCGACTGTGGTCAGGCACGGATATGGAGCCGCAGCGGGGCCGGCAGAGCTGGGGCAGGGTGTATGGGTACTCCAGGCTTGTACTCCGGTGGCGCCCAGCAGGGTGCTCAGGGCTGGACACCTCCCTGTCTCCTCCACTTCCGCCTCCTATTCCACTGATGCTGCTGCACCTGGGTTTGTGCACAAGCTCAGGGCTCCCCTTTTCCCCACCACTACTGACTCCAACCCCTCCTGGAGCCAGGTGAGGCTGCTTATGGTGAGGGTGATCGGAGCTGTCAGCGCTTCCTGCGCTTGAGGTGCTGCTCCCATCCCCCACGTCTCTCATCAGGAGCCCATGCCCAGGCACCAGCAGCAAACTATTCTGGCTATCAATGGAGTTGCGGCACCCTCCCATCCCTACACTCCCCCCCCCTCCACTTCCTCCACCGCCACCTCCTCCAACTACCACCCCCTTCTCCTCGTCAAGCAGCAGGCAGAGCTCCTTCAGCTCCATGTTCTCCCTGATTACCTCCTCCTGTCGAAGCTCCAGCTCCTTGAGTTTCTGGAGGTAGAGGGTAACCTCTTTGCGCATGATGCTGGCACTGTAACGTCCCAAGCGCTGCCACTCCCTGGATACACGCTTGCCCTTTTGGCGGTCGTCGTCCAGAAAGCAGCACAAGTCCCGCAGCTCACGGTTGTCCTCCTGCAGTTTCTGATTAATATCCTGAAAGGAAAAGAAGAAAAAAAACGAGAGGAAACGAGAGTTAAAATAAGGCCTAAGCATTAGGAAGTCGTAAAACACTATAATAATGCTGATCAGAGCAGAAAGAATACAAATGTGCTTTTGATTTGGTACAAAACAAAATAGTTTATCTTCTTTTCATTTAACTCTGAAGTAAATTGCTGCAACCATTGTCCAATTTCAATCCATTTTGCTGCTCTTTGAGAAATGCTGTATGCAATAATAATGAAATGAAATCCTAATCCTCTCTGTGTTTCCCATAAAAGCATTCACTCACTGTGTACCATTCAATGTGAAGTACATAATGAAGATTAGAATGCTCTGTAGGAGATGGAGAGGCCACACACAGAAATAAGACTGGGTTAGAACAGTCAAATTAAACACCCTGAACATTTTATACAACGTTTACTTAAACATCCCTTCCTCACCTCCCAAGTGCTCCCTCTATCCTCCCTCTCCCCCTCTCTCCCTTTCTTACCCTCCAGCTCTTTCCTGTGTAATTAGGCAGCTTGCATGGGTGGAGAGGTGAAGAGGTCGCAGAGAAAGGCAAATGATCTCCATGTGCTTCATCTGAGGCTACCTCAGGCTGAGTCTGTACTCAGTAACTGTAAACAATGTAGACACTGTGCCATAGTCCTCTTGTTAGTGGCACAGAAAATAAAGGCAGTAAGTAAAGGTTACTTGCGTATACTTTCAAAGCAAATGCCACATTGTTCTAAAGGCAAATTGCACTGCACATACTGTAGATTTATGAGCCAAGATATTCTAGGAATGTGAGGTGTGTGTGCCTAGGACAGAGAGAGATCTGGACACCAGATTTTAGCACTGGCATATGAACAGAGCTGTAGATGTACAGACGGACATGCCCTCTTCTTCCGTATTAGGAGGCATGCACTGTACTTTACTCTACTTGCCCTGTGTTTTTTAAGCTGAGTTGTGGGGATACATTTTGTCATTGACTTTGGTCACAAACACCCCTCCCTTTGTTAATTAATTCCCCATCTACACAGTAAAAGTTAAATGAAAACTGTAGGCCTGCCTTAGGTTGAGCATGCCCATAAAGCCTGTGTGCACACATGGATCCATACATCCATCCATATCAGATTGTCATACAGGCCTACACAATGGCACAGTGAACTTCAATGATACTATTCCCACACTGTGTTTGCAGAGGCGCTCTCTAAACAGCGGAACATCCCTCCTGCTATGCGCGCTCTCAGGTGCGCTCCAAACCTATGATCTCATCCTTCACCGATGCGCGCCCCCCCCTCACCTTCAGCCCCCTGATCTCGTTCAAGTGCAGCTGGAGGCTGCGATTGACCTCCCGGATGAGATTCCCGTGGTCCAGAATCACGCTCATCTTGTCGGCCTCAGACCGCCTCAGCCGCCGCACCAGATCCTCCTTGGTCCACTTGAGCAGCTCCTCGTCAGTCAGACCGGAGATGTCCTCAGCGGGACTTTCAGTCTTCGCTATCGACAGCTGGAGCTGGGGCTGGGGCGGCGGAGTCGCTTTCTCCATTGGCACAGCTCCTCCGGCACCGACAAAGCGCAGAAAATAGTCAGAGGATCGTTGGCAACCTCTGCTCGCATCCGCTCCTCCGGTCGACTTGAGGTGGAAAACGGTTACCGGTAGAAAGTCAGTCGCATAGTTTGGCCTTTTCTGTTGCTCCCGACTCTTCCACTCTCTGCTAGAGCAACAGCTGACGATGCCGGCTCAGTGCGATCCAGAGGAGAGAAGATGCTCTGCTGTCTTATCACTGCAACATCCTCACAGCCAGGGATGTACTGTGGGGCAGCCGGGTTGCACTGCGACTTATCGGCTCGCTTTAGCATCCAGATCCGGTCCCAAACGTGGTAAAAGTGAGGAAAGCTTGGGCGGACAGTCGGTGCACACACCTGCCGCCTGTGGGTTCAGCACTCTGCGAGAGAGAGAGAGAGAGAGAGAGAGAGAGAGAGAGAGAGAGGGAGAGTCCGCTGTGCAGGCAGAAAGCCCCCCTCCCTTCACTCTCTCTCTCTCTCTCTCTAGCTTTCTTTAGATTTCTCCCTCCAGGGGTTTATATGCTTCACCAACAAAGAAAAAGCTTGGTTACAGCGCCACTTAATGTTCAGACACACTCCAAACAAGTTGTGTGAAATACTACAGTGTAATAGCAAGACTACAGTGTTACATGCTCGGTTACAAGTGCTGCATTCAAAATCTTTTGTAAAAGTACAAAAGCAATTAGCATCAAAAAATAAAAAAGTAAATGTTGGCCTACTCATGCAGAGTGGCTCATTTCAGAAATTACATTAGCCTGCTGGGTTACAATTAGTGATTCATGTGCACTTTAATATATGGCTGATGAAGGTGGCTAATTTCAACTATTTACTTCTGGGTTATTAGTAGGTTTATATTTTGTATTGATTTTAAATCTGCATAGTCTAATACCTAACTAAAAGTGTCAGATAACTGTAGTGGAGTAAAACAGTACAATATTTCCCTAAAGCATAAAAATGGAAATACTCAGGTAAAGTAGTCTACATATAGGCCCAGCTCAAATGTGTAGTAGTTTACAGTAGGCTGCTTGAGTAGCTATGGTCCACCAATACGTACAGTTGATTTCAGAATAACATAACCAGCATAAAAAAAAGCTAGCAACAGACTTATGTATGTCAAAGCTTTTTTAAGTTGAAGCCACTGACGTGAGATCACACCTAGAGGTCTATATAACACTCACAGACACTTAGGCCCATATACTGGCTTCGAGGCGGGCACATGCAAAACGTCCCAGTATGTGAGCCCAGCCTTGAACACAGTATGACCAGGAGCAGCAGTTGGCCACAGTTTCACTCCAGCATCATGGACAGGTGCTAATGTGGACCTTGTTTGACGTTGTGATATAGAACTGTATAAAACATAGTCCTAAAGCAGTGAGTGTAGGCTACTTAGTTAGTTTGGATGCATCGTAAGTTTTGTATGTAAACTTAGATTCTGCAGAGTTAAGTGCAGTGAAGCTCTACTGGTATACACATAGACTACGAGGAATTTAACCCCGGTTTGAACTTAAAGGTCCAGTATGTGACAAAACAAACACTGACTGTAGAGACCATCATAGTTCCTCCGACACACCTCACAGCCCGCTCTCTTTTCCCATTCCCAGGTTGTCCAATACACACGCCAGCGGTGTTCAGTTAGTTGTAATCTACAACTTCACTGCCAGATGCCACTAAATCCTACACACTGGTCCTGCAATAAAGTTCAAATTCTATTAATACTAACTTTCAAATAACTAGTAAAGTAAAATGTAGGGGTACAATATTTAAATAGAAATTTTAGTGAAGTAGAAGCCTACTGTATCATATAGGTTACACTGGAAATATTCAACTCAAGTACCTCAAGATTGTAGTTGAGTAAATGCATTTACTAACTTACACTTTCCAGGAATGGTCAAAGGTCACAGGCTGAGATTAGTTCTTTACACAGTGGATGATTAAGTGGTGAGATAGGCAGTCCCAGTCTAATCACACGTCATCACCCCGTACAATACTGTCACTACAACAACGTCGCCCTAGGCCAATGCCTTCACTGTCAATGGCCGATACTATAAACTCCATTTCCCATAGTGACCTCCTACCCGGCAACGTCATGGAAAGAAGAGCCAATAGGAGACGCCTCAACTTGGAGTAACACGTCATTCTAGTAAAGTGCAGAAGCCGGCTGACAGGGAGTGATCCCCTCACCGTCGTCTTGCCTTGTACATCCGCCTGCGTTTATCTCCAAATGCTGTAATTTCTTTTCAACACAACAGACTCTTTAGCTCTCCTCTAGACCCGAGGCCAACCTCATAGAAAAGGTAAGCGCTCGATTTAATTTAGTTGGAAAGTAGGCCGCCGGTCTCTGCTTTCATTCCTGAAGGGACAGGAAGTGGGTTAATGCTACATTCCGTTAGCTAAGCCAGCCCAGCTAGTCAACGTAGCCTTAGCTTGTAGAGGTTTGAGTGACAGGGCGACGTAGAGACGTTTAATGATGATTAACATTATCGTTTGCTGCTGAATTCATTCACGCCAACCGAATTTCGCGGGAGTGGGCACCGGGAAAACGATATTTGAATGATTTCTGAGTAGAAACGTTTCACGACGGATACCAACCTTCACCGGTGGCTTTATCAGTGATGAGACGTGGCCTGTAGCATATGATACAGACATAATGGTAGTCACTGTATGTCCCCAAACACGGATTCATTTAAACAGTTAAATAACATTTCAAGGTTTCCATGTACTCTCTTACCGAAAGCGAAAGGGGAAAGGGGGCTTTGCCAACACCAGAAACCCCCAAAAACACCAACCCCACATCCTCTTCATAAACATTGGATATTGGGCAACTTACATTTACTTTTATTTAATATTAATCCGCTCAAGCTTATGTCTTCAGGTTGTTTGTTTTGTCCGACCAACAGTCCAAAACCCAACGATATTCATTTACTATGATATGAGACAGAGAGAAGCAGCCATAGTCTCACATTGGAGAATAAGTAATGAGGGAATGTTTGGTTCTTTGGTTTGAAAATGTAGTTCCACAATCAATTGATTATTAAAATACAGACCTAGTTACAAATAAAGTTACAGTGTGGATGCCTTCTTTTGGCAGAGGTGTTCTTAGCTACAGAGAAATCCATTGCTTCTTATCTCAAGTCAGGTCAATGAAACCTGCAACAAGTTAGATCAGCAACTATTTTGATAGGACATTGATAAGTTAAATCATTTATCAGATTAAAAACTGTCTTTTAAACTGAGAGGATTCACTTCTCTTTCTGTAAAAACATTCAGCATTTTGGGACTTCAGACAAAACAGGTTATTTGAAGATATTACATTGGGCTCTGTCTTTTATTTTATAGCGAGCACAGTTATTTACTCAATCAATTGAGGAAATCATTTGTAGATTAACAGCTACAATAATCAGTAGCTGCAGCCCTCCCTAGTACACAGCTGTCTCTCCTACAGAAATGTACCTTTTGACCCTGCCAGGGCTTGAAATGAACTTTTTTTCCTCAGTCTTGAAATCACCCTAGGTGTTTGGCCACTTTCAGATTGCATAATTCTTTTAGTCATTGGTTGAGTTACTGTTTCGTGTTCATTTCTAACTGTTTGATCAATAAATGCATTACTGCAAACTGCAGGGCAAATGCAAACCCGTTTCCTGGTATACGGTGACAGAAATCTACATGCACACGGAACATTTTAGTCAAATAATTACAAACTCACTACAGGGATGTTGTATATTTGAAGTAAAACATTTTCTACAAAGGGGGGAAGAAGATCAAACAAACTATTTCAATATTTACAAGCTCAAACTAACTATTTACATATAAGCTGTAGGATCACCCTAATCCAAAGGGAAGAGACTGAGAGAGGGAAGGTCAAACAAACTATGAACCTATTTACAAGCTTTAGAAACACCCTGATCTAGAGATCCAGAGAAGCCATGGACTGTGAGCAGCATACAGGATGAATTGCGAAAATATAATACTTTAGAAAATATTGCTCGCCTTTTCCCATCCTGAATAAATTGCTGAATTTGTTGCTTTTTCTGAAATTAAGTCACTAATTTGAGACACCTAACAATAAAAAATATATATATTTCATGACGCATAAATGTAGTAATTTCATTTGTAATGATACATTTCTCTAGTGTCTCAGAATTGTACCACACACTGTATCTTTGTGTCCCAGGTGCTATTTTTATTGTCCCCTGGACGATGGGACAGGTGAATATAAAGTTCCTCTGATAGCAGTGACAAAGGGAGAGTGTACCGTTGCTACTGGTGATGCTTTTCTAAAGGTGTAATTCATGTTTCGCTGACACACCAACAAAGGTGTAGCCTAAAAATACCACTGGGATTCCACTGTACTGTACTCTTCCTTGTCAAAACAGGTTGGTCACGTTTCCCAATGACACATTTGTGCGTCACGCTTTCGAATATCTACGTCTTATTTTAGCATTAGCGAGGAAGGAGGACCTGTATAAAGAGCAGTTCACTGCCACTGGAAAACAGTAACAAGTTTTGACTAGCAGTGTCACTACATCCAGTGCTTCTATTGGACCTACATCCTCACTCTGATCTATTGGGCTCTTTCTCTGCTGAAGCTCAGTGATGGCGACCTACCAGGAGTTCATCCAGCAGAACGAGGACAGGGATGGGGTGAGATTCAGCTGGAATCTCTGGCCGTCCAGCCGTCTGGAAGCCACCAGGCTAGTTGTCCCAGTCTCCTGCCTCTTCACACCACTCAAGGAGAGGCCTGACCTGCCACCAGTCCAGTACGAACCAGTTCTGTGCAGCCGGGCCAACTGCAAGGCAGTGCTCAACCCACTGTGGTGAGTTAAATAGAAAAACAATTCCCCTGCTTACAGATGTGTTCCCTTTTTTCTATTGTTTTTTTAATTTTTTTTCAGCAGCAAAGCACCAAAGATGCTTTTGTAACATTTAGTATTATTTAGTATTCAGCCTTTATGCTTTAATGTTTAAATTACATGTTTTACGTTGTGTTTTAGTGTCAGTGCCAACTATGTTCTTGACATTTCTTCATTGTAGCGTCCTTGAGTTAAAAAATAAAGGGGATTAAAGGGGGTTGAGGGGGTTTGAATTTGGTGCTGTGTTTGAATATAACACCTCAGCATTTGGAAGTGCTGAGGTGTTAAAAAATATAAGTTATAAGTACCAGGTGTGATACATGAGTCTCAGGTACACTCCTGCCAATTGAATGCAAACCCTAAATTGTTTTGATCCCTCTTCCACAGTCAAGTTGACTTCAGAGCAAAAATATGGGCGTGCAACTTCTGCTTCCAGAGAAACCCAGTAAGTTCACGTTCACAGCATGATTTAGTTTGACATGAATAGTTGTCATAACTTATATTAGCCTGCATAACTTCATATGGACCAGCTACATTCTTTTGTCAGACCGGTTAATCTGGATGTCTATTTGTCTCTCTGTGTCTCTGCAGTTCCCTCCCTCTTATGCAGGCATATCAGAAGTGAACCAGCCAGCTGAACTCATGCCACAGTTTTCTACCATTGAGTACATAGTACAGGTAAACACTACACTCTGACCTCAACCCCAATGCATGGAGATTGTATGTACTAAAGATGTACTGTGCAAAGGTGAATATTAACAGTGTCCAATAATGGCCTCTATAGGTGAAGAGTTCTTATTTTTATTCTTTAGTTCTGGGTCTAATCCATGTGGTCAGTGTCATCCTGCAACTTGGACACATCTAAACTATGTAGTATTCTTAGGGTATGGATCAGTTCCCATGGTTCAAAGCACACGTTTATAAAAAATGTTCCATATTTGGGCAAACCTAATGTGGTACATTAGTGAAAGAGTTTTGTCATAATCATATAGTTTTTTTTGACATGTTAAGACATATAGTAGGCTATAATAAATATTTGGAGATGAAATTATACAGA